CGGAAGAGCTTTCCTAAAAATATGAGAAGTTATTTTGGAGCTTTTAATAATAGCATTGTTTTTTGTTAATATGTCATTGTATCATATGTGTAGTTATTATAATACAATTCGTCCCAAATAAAAAGTAAAATTTGTAAATCATATTGATTATATCATTGCAATAAAAGCAAAAATAGAATTATAAAAAAAAAAAAAAGCAAAATTAGGAGTCCTCATAATTTTAATGCACTCATGTATATAGTGATTGCATCGGCAACCGTGAAAACTTAGGTTTTATAAAAAAAAAAATTAATTAATTAAAACACTTTAAGGGAGCTATTTGATTAGGCAAGGGATCCGAAATCATCCATAAAAGCACTCCCAATTTGCATGGATTATGCGAGATGATTTTTTTTCTTCTCATACTAATAAATACAATGGGAGAAGTATCTTCTTCCTACTCATTCCCTCATTCCTATTTGAGTAATTTCTTTCCAATCAAACATTGCCTAAAGGAGTTAATAGCGCATTTCACAATAGATAGACTAAAATCGAATATTGATTAGTGCATGGAGACCTAGTAATGTTCTTAACCCCTTGGTAAAATACCATTTTATTACCCGAGTTTAACAATTTATCAAATTGATATCCTCATATTTGAGAGTTTCTTTTTAAATACCCTGGACTCCGTTCACTTCGCTGATTCGAGTTTAGAATTCGAGTTTTTTTACAGTAAAAAGCTCTCACAAACAATCACATCTAATTTTTTTTTACTACAATAAAAAGCTCTCACATCTCAACTCGAGTTTTTTTACAGTAAAAAACTCTCACAAACAATCACATCTAATTTTTTTTTACTACAGTAAAAAGCTCTCACATCTCAACTCGAATTCTGCTCTTTAATTCTCCCACTCATCACTATTACCCTCGGATCACACCTACAATTGGCAGATTTTCCCGCCATTAGATCTCGGAAGAGTACGACGCGAAAGGGAGACGTTCAAAGAGGTCTAGCGAGCCTCTAGGGTTTCCGAATTCCCTTCCTTTTCTCTCACTCTCAACCGCCCCTGTTGTACGGCCGTCGCAGAGAAGAAAAAAGCTCGCAAAACCCAGTCTTTCTGCTCTCAAGTTCAACAATGGCGTCCTCTGCCGAAGATTTGTCCCAATTCGATGTCTCCAACGAGGTGCCCAATCTCCTCCCCATTTTCTCCCAAAAAATTTTATTTCACTAACTTCCAATAATGCACACTAACCATGCCTTGCGAAACCACAGGAGAAGGACAGGCTTGTGGCGGAAGTAATCCGCTACGTGCTCTTCAAGACCCACCAAACCGGAGGCTGTCCGATCAAGAGAGAGGAGCTCACGCAGATCGTCACCAAGATCTACCGCCAACGCGCTCTTCCAGGATTAGTCATCAACGAGGCCGCCGCAAAGCTCGCGAGCATTTTCGGCTACGAAATGAGGGAGCTTCAACGCTCTCGTCCTTCTTTGGCCAATCAGGGCCGGTCTTCCCAGCAAAGTGAGAGGATCCAATTGACCACTGATTCTTTCGATTTTGGTTTGTTTCTCTGTTTTGGCTTTTGACTATATCTATATGTTGTTTGTTCCAGGTTCTACTGATGCGAAATCTTATGTTTTAATGAGTAAATTGCCCGCCGACGTGTATAGGAAATTTGTGGAGGGTGATAATGCAGCTCACTTGACTGGTTTTGCATTCGTCGTGATTAGTATTGTGCATCTCTCTGGTGGCAAAATTGCTGAAGGTAAGTGATTTTCGCTGGTTTTTCGATGTTCCGAAATTTAAAAAAGGTGGTAATTTTCTTGCAAAATATGTCTAGCAAATTATATGGTGTATTGTTGTATTTGTGGCATAATATGATCAACCATTTTCATGGGCAATTGTTCATTCTCTTTGTTAATTAGTCTTTTGTGCTGCTTCTATATCGTAATGTGGTTTTCTTCTTGTTTTGATGGGAACTGCAGAGAGCCTTTGGCATCACTTGAAGCGAATGGGATTGGACGAAAGTACTGAAAATCACCCTGTCCTTGGAAATACCAATCAGGCACTTGAGACACTTGTGCAGCAAAGGTTGGAACTTTTTACTCCACAAAAAATTGTTCATTTCATTGCTTTTAATTTACACGCATCTATCTCAAAATTATTTTTCCACTTGTAGATATTTGCAGAAATATAAAGTAAATGGACCGGAAAGCAATAACTTATTTTATGAGCTCGCTGAGAGAGCTTTGGACGGGCCTGTAGCTGAGAAGATAAAAGAATACATAGAAGAGGTATTGTTTGGAGATAGCCCTCTGATTTTTGTGTATATATATATATATATATATTTTTTTTTTTTTTGGGGGACCAAGAGTGGGGGTTTTAGTGTGCAAAGAACAATTCTTCACTAATCTTTAAGATGATCTGCTTTGGCGTTTTTAGCAATGTAACATTCATGGAAAATAGGTGGAGATAGCTCTGCCTTTAATTTTATTATTCATATTTGAGACTTTAAAAACAGGAATTTGCAGATTACAATCTGTTCTGGAGTAAGTTGACTGTTTCTCTTAGCTTAGAGTGGAGCTTGGGTTCGTTGTCTTTTTGTACTACGATTGTTACCTATGTTTAGAGTATCTATGCGCCTTGGTTAGCGTTGATGTTTTCCCATGCCCATCTTTCTATTGGAAATTAAAAATTGTTAGCTTTCAGAATGTGCTTAATTTCTTGGGAGCATTATAGGGGGCAAAGGTGTATGGGCAGGAAATAATGTGATGATATGACAGATGGGTAAAGTCAAGGGATGAGTCCAAAAACAAAAAAAGTGCTAATGGCAATGAAGATTGCGGAAAGTGGAAACTACTATGTTATACTCAACTCACTAAAGTAATATGGCTGATTTGTAGGTCTTTATACGCAATTATTTGTTCCTTTTTTCTCCGTAAAAACTTGACGTAAATAATTTTTTCGCTGGCAGATTGGGAAGAAAGATGTGACGTCTGAGGATGATGACTAGTTCTTGTCCGCCTACTTCTAGTCAACTGTATGGAGGTATGAGAATATATTATTTGTTTCGCTTATGGATGTTGATGTTGCTTTTGCTCTTGCTGTTTCTATGGGAAGCACTATCATTTAATGTCCTCACTCTTACCTTGCAATGCAGACAATGATATTTGGACTATTTGCTGTGTGGTATGTGGACTAGCCAGCAGTAATACGGGGATGCCCCTACTTGAAAATATGATTGGCATATTGGCTAAAGCACCAGCTGACATGAGCCATTCTTCTGTATCTGTGTATGTGTTTCTGGACGAATGATCGTGTTTGGAATTTGGCCTATGCTATTCATTGTAATGTGGACCTTATCCTTGGGGCTGTTATTGAATTTGAATAGTTTCCGAAAAAATTTGTAATTACGGAAGCTTTTATATGTATCCAAACCACTCGATGCTTTTCTGAATTCAGCAGCTCAAATCTGTGTATGGTAGTTGTATGGTGAGCAATTAGTTTAAGAGTGGGTTTATGAATGAATGCACCTTATCAAGTGTGTTGGAAAGATGTGATGATAGTCACACAAAATAAAGAAAATCATAAAACTAGAATATTCATCAAAAAATGGTGCCGTTTGTTGTATTAATTCTTAAAAATCGTATATTAATTTTAGAAAGTAAAATTTAAATAAAAATATAAACTTTTGACCCATCCTGGCCTTTGGGCGCCCACTACGCGGTCCAGGGGTTTTTTCACAGCGTTTTACTTTTTTTATCATTTTTTGGGGCTAATTTTTGCAGGCATGCCCAGAAAAATGTAAGGACCGTGTCTGTAAAATTTCAGAACATTTTAACATCATTTTTATTTTATTTTATTTTTCAAAGACGAAAAATAAAGAAAATCATAAAAAATAGAGTATTCATCAAAAATTGGTGTCGTTTGTTGTATTAATTACTAAAAATTGTATATTAATTTTAGAATGTAAAATTTAAATAACCCTGGGCGCTCCACTACGCCACCCGGGAGCTTTTTGACAGCGTTTTACTTTTTTTGTCATTTTCTAGGGCCAATTAATTTTAGAATGTAAAATTTAAATAACCCTGGGCGCTCCACTACGCCGCCCGGGAGCTTTTTGACAGCGTTTTACTTTTTTTGTCATTTTCTAGGGCCATTTTTTTTGCAGGCATGCCCAGAAAAATGTAAGGATCGTTTTTGCCAAATTTCATATCTTTTTTACATCATTTTTATTTAAATTAATTTTTCAAAGACGAAAAATAAAGAAAATCATAAAAAATAGACTATTCATCAAAAAATGGTGTCGTTTGTTGCATTAATTCCTAAAAATCATATATTAATTTTAGAATCTAAAACATAGATCAAAACGTAATTATTTGACCCATCCCAGCCCCTGGACGGCCCACTATGCGGGCCGGGGGTTTTTTGACAAAATTTTACCTTTTTTGTCATTTTTGGTTGCCATTTTTACAGGCGTACCCAGAAAAATGTAAGAATCATGTATGCAAAATTTCAAAACATTTTGACATCTTTTTTATTTTATTTTATTTTTCAAAGACGAAAAATAAAGAAAATCATAAAAATTAGAATATTCATCAAAACATGGTACTGTTTGTTGTATTAAATACTAAAAATTGTATATAAATTTTAGAATGTAAAATTTAAATAAAAAATTAAATTTTTGACCCATCCCGGCCCCTGGGCAATCCACTACGCGGCCCGGGGGCTTTTTGACAGCGTTTTACTTTTTTTTTGTCATTTTCTGGGGCCATTTTTTGCAGGCATGTCTAGAAAAATGTAATGATCGTGTCTGCAAAATTTTAGATCTTTTTGACATCTTTTTTATTTTATTTTATTTTTCAAAGATGAAAAATAAAGAAAATCATTAAAAATAGAATATTCATCAAAAAATGGTGCCGTTTGTTGCATTAATTCCTAAAAATCGTATATTAATTTTAGAATATAAAACCTAGATAAAAAAGTAAATTATTGACCAATCCCGGCCCCTGGGCGCCCCACTACACGGGCCAAGGGCTTTTTCACAGCGTTTTACCTTTTTTTGTCATTTTTATTTGCTATTTTTTACAGACATGCCCACAAAAATGTAAGGGTCGTATCTACAAAAATTTAAGAAGATTTTGTCATCATTTTTATTTTTTTTTATTTTTCAAAGACAAAAAATAAAAAAAATCATAACAAATAGAATATTCATCAAAAAATGGTGCCGTTTATTGTATTAATTCCTAAAAATCGTATATGAATTTTCAAGTGTAAAGTTGAAATAAAAATATAAATTTTTGACCCATGTCGGCCCTTGGGTGCCCCACTACGCGGCCCAGGGGCTTTTTGACAGCGTTATACTTTTTTTTGACATTTTCTAGGTCCATTTTTTGCAGGCATACCGAGAAAAATGTAAGGATCGTGTCTGTAAACTTTCAGATCTTTTTGACATCATTTTTATTTTATTTTATTTTTTAAAGATGAAAAATAAAGAAAATCATTAAAAAATAGAATATTCATAAAAAATAGTGCCGTTTTTTGCATTAATTCCTTAAAATCGTATATTAATTTTAGAATATAAAACATTGAGAAAAATATAAAATTTTGACCCATCCCGGTCCTTGGGCGCCCCACTAGGCGGGTCGGGGGTTTTTTTATAGCGTTTTATTTTTTCTTGTCATTTCTAGTTGCTAGTTTTTGCAGGCATGCCCAGAAAAATGTATGGATCGTATCTACAAAATTTCAGAGCATTTTGACGTCATTTTTAATTTATTTTATAAAGAAAATCATAAAAAATAGAATATTCATCAAAAAATGGTGCCACATTTTGTATTAATTTCTAAAAATTGTATATTAATTTTACAATGCACAACATAAATAAAAATTTAAATTTTTGTCCCATCCCGGCCCTTGGGCGCCTCACTAAGTGAGCTGGGCTTTTTGACATCGTTTTACTTTTTTTTATCATTTTTTGCAGCCATTTTTCGTGGGCATGCCCAGAAAAATGTAAAGATCGTGTCTGCAAAATTTCATAATTTTTTGACGTCGTTTTTACATTATTTGATTTTTCAAACACGAAAAATAAAGAAAATCATAAAAATGGAATATTCATAGAAAAATGGTGTCATTTGTTGCATTAGTTCATAAAAATCATATATTAATTTTAGAATGGAAAACATAGATAAAAAAGTAAATTTTTTACCCATCCCGGCCCCTAGGCGCCCCACTACGAGGGCCGGGGATTTTTTGACAGTATTTTACTTTTTTTTTGTGATTTTTGGTTGCCATTTTTTACAGGCACGCCCAAAAATTTTTTACCCATCCCGGCCCCTAGGCGCCCCACTACGAGGGCCGGGGGTTTTTTGACAGTATTTTACTTTTTTTTGTGATTTTTGGTTGCCATTTTTTACAGGCACGCCCAGAAAAATGTGAGGATCGTGTTTACAAAATTTCAAAACATTTTGACATCATTTTTAGTTTATTTTATTTTTCAAAGACGAAAAATAAAGAAAATCATAAAAAATAGAATATTCATCAAAAAATGGTGCCGTTTGTTGCATTAATTCGTAAAAATCATACATTAATTTTAGAATGCGAAACATAAATAAAATAATAAAAATAGAACTCCTGGGGTGCTCCCGGGGCACCCCTAGGGAACCCCAAGTGCACCCCAGGCGCACCCCTGGGGAATCCATGAGGCACCCCCGGGACACCCCCGGACACCCTCAGGGCACCCTCGGGGCACCCCTGGGACACCCCCGGGACAAAAATTTACATTTTTATTTATGTTTTGAATTTGAAAATTAATTTACGACTTTTAGGAATTAATGCAACAAATGGCACCATTTTTTGATCAATATTCTATTTTTTATGATTTTCCTTATTTTTTGTATTTGAAAAATAAAATAAACTAAAAAAGACGTCAAAAAATTATAAAATTTTGTAGACACGATCCTTACATATTTTTGGGATTGCTTGCAAAAAAATGACCCAAAAACAGACAACAAAAGAAAAATGACGTCAAACCGTTCTGAAATTTTGTAGACACGATCCTTACATTTTTCTGGGCATGCCAACGAAAAATGGGAATAAAAATGACAAAAAAGTAAAACGCTGTCAAAAAGCCCCCGGCCCGCATAGTGGGGCGCCCAGGGGTCGGGATGGGTGAAAAATTTACATTTTTATCTATGTTTTAAATTCTAAAATTAATATACGATTCTTAAAAATTAATGCAACAAGCGGCACCATTTTTTGATGAATATTCTATTGTTTACGATTTTTTTATTTTTCGTCTTTGAAAAACAAGATAAAAAAAAATGATGCCAAAATGTTCTGAAATTTTACAGACACAATCGTTACCTTTTTCTGGGCATGCCTACAAAAATGGCAACCAAAGATGACAAAAAAGTACAACGCTGTGAAAAAGCCCCCGGCCCGCGTATTCGGGCGTCCAGGGGCCGGGATGGGTCAAAAATTTATATTTTATCTATGTTTTCCATTCTAAAATTAATATACGATTTTTAGGATTTAATACAATAAACGGCACCATTTTTTGACGAACATTCTATTTTTTATGATTTTCTTTATTTTTCTCCTATGAAAAATAAAATAAAATAAAAATGATGTCAAAATGTTATGAAATTTTGCAGACACGATCCTTACATTTTTCTAGGTGTGGCTGCAAAAAATGGGAAATAAAAATGACAAAAAAAGTACAACGCTATCAGAAAGCCCCCGGCCCGCATAGTGGGGTGCCCAGGGGGCAGGATGGGTAAAAAATTTACAATTTTATTTATGTTTTCCATTCCAAAATTAATATACCATTTTTCAGAATTAATGCTATAAACCGTACTATTTTTTGATGAATATTCTATTTTTTATTATTTTCTTTATTTTTCATCTTTGAAAAATAAAATAAAAATAATGTCAAACTGTTCTGAAATTTTACAAACACGATCCTTACATTTTTCTGGACATGCCTGCAAAAAATGGCCTCCCCTGGGGCACCCTGGGGACACCCCCGGGACATCCCTGGGACACCCCCGGTGAAACCCCGGGGCTCGCCCGGGACTCCCCCGACGCACCCCCGGGAGGGTAGCCCCCCGACACCCATGGGACACCGCCCGGGCACCCCCGGGGCATGCCCCGGGACGTCCCCAGGACACCCCAGGGGCGCCCCCGGGGCCCCCAAGACACCCCCGGGGCACCCCCGGGACACCCTCAGGGGACCCCCGGGACAAGCCTGAGGCACCCCCGGGGTTCCCCCGAGACACCCTCGGGGCAAAAATTTATATTTTTATTTATGTTTTGCATTCAAAAATTAAAATATGATTTTTAGGAATTAATGCAACAAACGGCACTATTTTTTATGAAGATTCTATTTTTTATGATATTCTTTAATTTTTCTCTTTGAAAAATAAAAATAAAATAAAAATGATGTGAAAATGTTCTGAAATTTTACAGACACGATCCTTACATTTTTTTGGGCATGCCAACGAGAAATGGCAACCAAAAATGACAAAAAAAGTAAAACATTG